GTTTAGTTGCGTCCAAAGTCATTATAGCATTTTTGACGTTATGACACGTTATCATACGTCTTCAAATGTCTGCATCTATGTTCCATGAACCCTGTACTATAAGTATATCTAGACAATCATTTTAATTAAAAATATTAGATTTATATATCTAATTCTTGTTTAAAAAAAAAAAAAACCTGTTATTATAATAAATTTAAATTTATTATCGTTATATCTAAGCCTCTAAAAATTAACCTCGTATATACTGTATATTTTATAATGGTGCTTATAATCTAATCCTAACCAAATCACAACAATTAGGTTATATATGTTCGTTACAATAACTTAATGCTAACTATATTAGAACCGATAGTCTTTTGGTCCGTCCTAATAAAGACCAAACTGGCCCGGTCCTAAGACGGACCGCAGGTCCGGCGGCTTTAGTCGGACCGATTAACAGCCCTAGTTTTAGTAAAAGTAAAAATTAATTTTCAATTATTTTTGATCAGTATTTTAGCAAAGTGTTTATTGGTCATGTCTATGCACATGATCGATAATCATTCATGTGATAGATAATCATATGGCTTATTTTCGGAAAAATTTTTGCAGATGTTCTACATCTGATCATCTATTGCTATCAAACTTGTCTTTCCAAGAAACTCCAAAAATGAATCTATATAAATCTATGCAACAATTTTTAATCCCTCCCATTAACCTTATATTACGTAATTTGTCATCACGACAAACACGTATGTACCACGAATGGGAAGACTCAATATTACTTGACCCACAAGGTCCATACAATAAAGATTTACCGAAATATAAAAGAGCTGAGGCACCGTTAGCTTGTGATTTTAATCATTTAACCAAATTGGAACAAGATGTTATAATGAATCCGTACGGTAAGTATTTTGCATGAAAATTTTATTAATTTATTTCAAAACATTATATACGTATTTCTATTTGTTAATATCATTAATTTATACATATCATTAATTTATACAGCAGCAATAATAGCATCACCTATAAGGCGTTGCTTCTATCATGAACGATGGTTTCCGAATGGTAAATTTTCTCTTTTGCATATGTTAAGTTTATACTAATTAAATCTTAGATTTCTTGGTTAGATTCATAAAGGCATATGATGAGAAAACGAAATCTACATGGTTAGTTCCTGATTTTGAAGAATACGGAGGTATTAAACGACCTGGTAAAGGAAAATGGTTGAAACTCAATTCTACTGCAATACAAAAAGCCACAAAAGAAGGTATTTAAATACCTTTTTTAAAGAGAATTCTTAGAAAGTGAATTAATTAGGTTAATTCAATTAATTTATTTACTCTTTTTTCTACCTTTATATGCAACTAAAAAGGGAAATACAAATATATAGACCCTCGTGCATTCTGGAGACCAGATATGCACGAACATGTTTGGAATATTTTAGTAATGCGAGCTACAGACAGGCTACAAAGATTTTTTAATTCGGTGGCTACAAAATCATTTCCCGCAAAACGAGATCGAGTTTTATTACGTGTTCTTCCTGGTACCTCTCCAAAATTAATAACGAGTAACGATATAAATAACAATATAATAACGAATAACAATAATGACTCAATTCCTTTTTCATATAAGATTAAAGGTGTGAGTTTAAATGATAAAGATAATGAAGACGGTAATCAAAGATTTTATATAGATAATGAAAATCCGATAGATGGGTTGCAATGTGTGTTCGTTCTTGAACATGATGAAATTTTATGCAATGATCATGAACCAAAAAATAATGTTGCCAATAATGAGAAAAACTCATCAATGCCAGCAGAGGAAAAAATAAATTCACTGACAAAACAAAAGCAACATTATCAAGAAATATATTCGCAAATACCGCCAAAACCATTTGGGACAATACACCCTGTGACTTTTCTTGGAAAAAACAATAAAAAGTTTACGCAGAATGTACCATTTTATAATGTCAAATATATTTGGGGTAGCAGAGGTGTTGGAAGATTTAAAGGATTTTTGAAAATTCCTAAATACGAGAATCCAATGTTGGGAATGATAACTCATAGGCACACTAAACAGTTAGCTATTTCTTTGTGGAAGTTAAGAGGATTTGTCATATAGCTTTGTACAAACCTAAGAACCCATTTTTCAGAATGTAAATTGCTTTATAATTTTTCATAAATTAAAAAGAACTTTTGGGCTTTTGGCAAATTGGACCAATAGATTTTGGACATATATTGAGACAAATATTTCGAAATATTGTTTAGAATTTAATAATATTGTTATAAAACCAAATAACTTTATAACTTTGTAGAATTTATTTCTTTGACCTATTTACAATAGTACATCAATCGAAATCCATTAACACTATTTCATATAAATTAATATTAACCTATGATTTAAATAGTTTGAAATAGGTATTTACCAGTTAATTGGGCGGTAAATAATTTAAATCGATTCATTCATCTTCTGCTATAGAGACAAAGTATTTAAATAGATAAATTAATATTCTTATCTTATAGGGTAGTAAATCAACTTCATTAAATACATACGTGAATTTTCATCATCAGAAATCGAAAATTTGTATTTTCTAGACCCTAAAATTAAAAAAAAAAATCAAAATTTTATTGATTAATTAAAAACTAGATATAACAAGTGTAGATACCAGAAATTTTTAGCAATTTTGTAGATAAAGAATTAATTTGCTTAGAAAGGTTTTTAAAGCTAAGCAGTTTACTTGTAAGCTTATCTTTAGGAAAAATTGGTAATTCGGTTGATAACGTTGGAATGATTGGATTCGCAACCTGGAATGCCTTTAATATTGCTAATTCATTTTTATCCTCAATAAAACCTTTACCAATCCTATAAACTTGATTTACAGTACCATCATCTACTACATTATACCATCTTGATAATTCTTCATGGACATCGGATGCAATTGGTCTATTAAGAGGATTAGCATCCATACATTGATTTGCTAATTGGATATAGCACTCAGGAGTGTCTTTAGCAAATCCAGGACATAATCCATTACATATTTGAATAGCTAGTGTTTCATCATACTCAAAATCATAATGAGGAGGTCTTCCTGTAGACATCTCAGCCATAATGACACCAAAACTATAAATGTCGGCAGCTGTTGTATATAGTTGTTGATTTAACACTTCTGGCGCAACATAAGGCAAAACTCTATAAATACCATCTTCTAAATCAGAATCATCCTTCTTTCTAGATAATCCTAGATCTGCAATATAAGATATTAGATCTCCATTAATATATTGACTTTGTAGTAGATTACCACTATGAAAATCTCCATGAACAATTCTGCTTTGTGTACTCTTATTAAATTTTTAGATATATCAACAAGCTGCTTTAATTTACTTTTCCAATTAAGTTGTTTAAAATTTGATGATAGGAAATTACGAAGACTTCCTCTATTTGCATATTGAAATACTATCAAATATTCATTAGTTGTATTTTGAGTTAGCCCATTTACTTCGAGATTATTACCCACTAATCTACATTCTGTGTAACTTGTTAAAATAAAATTTATAATGTTAATTTATATATAATTTAGGCTATACAAACTTATATAGTTGGTTTTCATATCCCGGCCGGGTCAGTAGAGTGGGAGTTTGAATTTTTTTTTTTAGTATATCAGCCAATAGGAAGCCTCCACAGATATCATATGACTAAAGCAAAGATATTACTGTATATGTACCAGCTAATAACGATAAGAACTTGTTTTTCCGATTAATAAGTAACTAGCTAACGCGTGCAAGATGATCTAATCTCACGGATTGGATTAATTTCAGTCATGTCATGTGCAACTTCATGTTTGGCAATTTTAATTCTGATCTTTTTACTTACCAGCGAATAAATAATTCAATATGTTATGCCCAACTTCGCGGATAATAACTGACTCATTCCACAGTTCTTACGTATTATATTTCTATACTATTTTTTTCAAATTAAGTTATGTATTTCATAAAGTTTAGCTTACAAAACTCTTTTCATTATTGTTTATCTGAATTATAGGCTGGCTCTATCGTCTCGCCCTTGTAAGTAGAAACAGAATTTAAGTGGATTTGGAATTTTATATAAGACCTCATTTTCAGGATTGATTTTATCATATAGTATATATACCCATACCCTAATTCTAATTTAACTAGAAAATTCTGAATCCACTTGGATTCTGTTCCCACTTACAAAGAGCAACGCAAAGATCTTACGTTTGATAATTAATCACTGCTGCTATTGCTATGATGGCGGTGCAAGATCTCAAATTGATTATTAGGCGGTTACATTAGTAGTGCAAGGGACCTCACGTTTGGTAATTGTGCACCATGGCCGCAATAGCAATCAAGGACCTCATGTTTGGTGATTAGGTTCTGTGGTCCGCAAGAACCTAGGTTGTGATTAGGTAAAGAGCTCATGTGGGACCTATGGGCATATCGCATTGTTACATAATTTATTTGATCGATTTTGTTACAGCTATGTGATTTCTTCTTTACTTTCTTATTTGAAGATATGACAGGTTGGTTTGATTAGATTATAAGGTGAATGATTTAGAGTTTGTAAACTATTGATATGAATTTGTGCAGACTATTAATATTATTAAAACTAATTTTACAACAAATATATTTT